ATGCTCCAACAGTCTACCAAGCACCCGACGCACCAGGGACACATGCTCGAGTATATTAGAATGTCATCAATATACACCACTACACCCTGTCCATGCAAGTCCCGGAAAATCTTGTCCACAAACGATTGGAATACTGAAGGAGCATTCATTAAACCGTATGGCATGACAAGGTACTCATAGTGACCCGAGGTTGTACTAAATGCTGTCTTCCACTCATCTCCCTCCCTAATGCGCACCAGGTTGTACGCGCTCCTGAGGTCCAATTTTGTGAAGAATCGCGTCCCGTGTAATGACTCAGAGGGAGAGGATAGCTGTACTTGATTGTGATCTGATTGAGACCACGGTAATCAATACACGGGCGTAAACCCCCATCCTTCTTCACAAAAAAGAAACTCGATGACACAGGGGAAGTGGATGGCCGTATGTATCCCTGTCCCAGAGATTCGGCGACATATGTCTCCATAGCCGCCGTCTCCTCCTGAGACAGAGGATACACATGACTACGAGGAAGCACAGCGCCTACTTGGAGGTCTATCGCACAATCCCCCTGTCGATGAGGTGGTAATTGAGTCGCCTTCTTTTTACTGAAGGCGAGCGCCAAATCGGCATATTCAGGTGGAATGTGCATGGGGGGACCTTGGTTCGGACTTTCCACCGTCGTTGCCCCTACGGAAACACCTACACACTGCCCGAAACACTGATCAGACCATCCCTTGAGAGCCCTCTGCTGCCATGAAATGTTGGGGTCATGTGACATTAACCAGGGGAGTCCCAACACCACGGGAAACGCAGGAGAATCCATCAAATACAGACTAATTAACTCCTCATGGCCCTCCTGCGTTTTCATCTTGACAGGTGCTGTGACTTCCCTAGTCAATCCTGACCCCAAAGGACGGCTATCTAGGGCATGGATGGGGAAGGGCACATCAAAGGGTACAATAGGAATCCCTAACTTATAGATGATCTGGCGATCTATAAAATTCCCAGCTGCGCCTGAATCTACTAGCGCCTTATGCTGGGAATGAGGAGAGACCTCGGGAAACATAACAGTAATACACATATGCGCACCAGAGAGCTCTGGGTGAGTTGGGTGCCTACTCACCTAGAATGACTCATCAGTGCGCTGCCTACTGCCTCGAATCCCAGGAGACCCTCCCCAGCACCGACCAGCAGTGTGTCCTCTGCAGCCACAGTTGGTGCAGGGGACGGCCTCCCTCCTGGCCACTCTCCTGGTCTCCCTAGCACCAGCACCTCCGAGCTCCATAGGGGTCGGCTCGGAAGTGCTGGGGGATGGAATGGACGGCCCTGAATCCGGACGTCCGCGGGTAGCCAACAGGGTATCCAGGCGAATAGACATGTCCACCAGTTAGTCGAAGCTGAGGTTGGTGTCCCTGCAGGCCAATTCCCGACGCACGTCCTCCCTCAGGCTACATCGGTAGTGGTCGATGAGGGCCCTCTCATTCCATCCCGTGTTGGCAGCCAGCGTCCGGAAGTCCAGCGCGAACTCCTGTGCACTCCTTCTCCCCTGCCTGAGGTGGAATAGACGCTCACCCGCCGCCTTACCCTCTGGTGGATGATCGAAAACTGCCCTGAAGCAGCGCGTGAACTCTGCATAGTTGACATTAGCGGCGTCTAGTCCCCCCCACTCGGCGTTGGCCCACTCCAGCGCCTTGCCGGACAGATAGGAGATGAGGGCGGACACGCTCTCGTATCCCAAGGGCACCGGGTGGATGGTTGCCAGGTAGAGTTCAACCTGGAGCAGGAAACCCTGACACCCGGCAGCTGTGCCATCATAAGCCCTCGGGAGCGAGAGCCGAATCCCACTGGACCCCGGAGGAGAAGCGATGGGTAATGCCGATGGTGATGGTATCGTAGGAGGAGGTGTAGGCAGACCCCCTCTTTCCCATCGCTCCATAGTGCTCACCACCCGTTCCATGGCGGTGCCGAGAGCCTGGATCATGGCCGCTTGTTGTTCAACGCGTTCCTCCACTGATCCAGCTGGCACCGCCGCTCCTGCTGACTCCATGTGAGGTGTGTGATTCTGTCAGGATAAACGTGTATGCCGTGAACGAAGTCAAGCGCAGGACACCGAGAGACTGGCAGATGTACTTTACTAATAAGCGTAATGAAAAGTACAAAACAACAAAACCTCCAAAACAGGGAGGAACAATAATCGCAATACACAGTCCTGCCGAAAACAAACGGAGAACAATCACACACAACAAACGAATGACAGACAGGGGTTATAAAGGGAAACCATCAACACTAATGGGAAACAAGTGTACACAAAGCAGACCAATCTAGATGATTGCTGAAACCTAGATCGGTGGCAGCTAGTACTCCGGGGACGACGAACGCCGAAGCCTGCCCGAGCAAGGAGGAGGAGCAGCCTCAGCTAAATCTGTGACATAAATAGACCTATCATGATTGATAGACTTGGTTTCATACCATTACATAGCAAAAAAATCAGCAAAACCTTTACCTGCATTTGACCAATATCATAGTAATACAAATTAAATAAAATGCCAACATATTCCCATATAAAATTCTCACGATTATAGTGAAGTCCTTGTTGCTAATGGATTTGGATTGTTCCCATTTTCCATCCTGGCTGCTCACACTATTTAACTTGGCATATGGCTGTGTATTCATTTCCTTTGTCCAACTGTTGGCACCCAGTCTCAGTGGCTGAGCCAAAACTTCATAAGCTAGAACCTAAGTTGCATTAGGAGATACTGGTGTAAGCAGGGATTGACATTAAGGGTTGCCCTATTGGCTGGGGCAAGTCAACTGAGCATTTGAGCCTGCTCTGAAATTGCCCCACTTGGCCGGTGATAAAAACAATTATAGTTAAAACAGCCAAACTGCAAAGAATTCCAGTAACCTAAAACATATCTTTCTGGTTCCTCCCAATTGTTTAAGTGAAAGACAGACAATTTATGGCAATCATGCAAGTTGAGCCAGTACTGATCCAGTACGGATCTTTCTGATTCCTCCCCTATGTATAGCTGAACGCCAGGCAATATATGGCACTTCTGCCTGTAAAAACATTTTACATTTTTGGACAAGCGATCATGATCTTCAGCCAACCAAAAAAATACTCCTGACTTGTCAGATGGGCAAATGCCTTTCAGACTTTAATGTCAATCCCTGTATGAGTAAATTAATGTTTGAAATGAGTAAGAGTGACAGACTACATTAAAGTGAAAGATTATGTTCTCTGTTCCCTTCTACATCTATTAAGCAACAGCATCCTTCTAACTAGTTTCATTAGAGTAATATGGGTATGAGATGAGTCTGTATGTATGATGTGGGGTAATCCCACTCATTGCAATGTTGATTTTTTTTCTATTGTATTGCTTTTTATTGTATAGTGTTGTGTCTACAATCCCAAGAATATTAGCCCAGAAAGACTAATGGCTCTTAATAAATAAAGCACTATAATAAATGCAATGTCAAATCAGTAAGATTGGAATTTAACTTGTGTTTTATTCACGGGCAGATGGATGAATTATGTTTTATATGCAACCATGTTAAAGGGGCAATCTGTGTTTCCTACGTCAATTTTTTGAATTTTTTATTAATGATATGTACCAATTGTTTCTTGAAGAATATAACTTATAAATTCCTCATAAGCTTAGTTCAATTGCCATACCTCATCAAAACCCGAAATATACTGTAAGTGGGTTTATTTGTTCCATTGTTTAAGAATGTAATTGTAAACAAACACTGGTTAAAACTATAATTTTGAACTCATGGCTGGTCAGTCCTTGCATCCATAGCTCTGTCTATGAATTTAAGAGTGGTCATATTTCTCCAGCCCCATCCCTCAGCTGTTTACCAAAAACAGGGGCAGGGTGTCCACTTTGTTGTTGTAAAAGTCACAATTTACATTCCAATAAAAATGGTATGGCACTTAATAAAACATTAAAAGACAATCAATTTATCAATAATTTTATTAGTGTGATTCATTTGCATTCATTCATGTCACTCTGTCATAATACAGTCTCACAAATATTCACTTCATCCATTTGCAATAACATTATATTTGACCAAAAAAAAAAAGACTGACAAATACACCCCAGCTGATTTTCCATGCAGTAGTTCAAGTTCTAGACAGAGACTAAACAACATACAAGTATTTCTGATAGGTCTTTGCTTCAAGCAAGGGGATACCTAGTACAGTTGCACAACTGAATGCATTCAACTGAAATGTCTTCCGCATTTAACCCAACCCCTCTGAATCAGAGAGGTGCGGGGGGCTGCCTTACTCGACATCCACATCAATGGCGAGAAGTTGTTGTTGGGGGTTAACTGCCTTGCTCAAGGGCAGAAGAACGACAGATTTTTCCACCTTGCTAGCTCAGGGACTCGAACCAGCGACCTTTCGGTTACTGGCCCAACGCTCTTAACCGCTAAGCAACCTGCCGCCCAATGTAACTCCTTCAAGTTTCACAGTGTATACAGAGAAAACTAACTTACTTTTGTTCATGTTAAGCATTACACATTAGTAACAGGTTTTCATATTTAAAAACATAACAATGACTAAATAACTTAATCACAACTAAATAATCAACAATACAGTAATAAATATTAAATACATCAATTAATCAACAATAAATAACTAAAAAAGTCCCTTGAGGATTCCGTGTTGGCAAATTATAATATTTTAAATCAACAATCCCCTGCATATTATGCAAGGACTAGCAAATTTGACCAATCACCACACAGTTCCGCATAAAACAGTCAAATCATCTAAATATTATCGCGTACAAATTACCCATCACTGCAGTACAAAAAGAGGGCTGGCAATTTCAACTAATCACTGCACATTTACCGCATAATATGGTTCAATCAAGCCAAACGTCAATAAATGTGCTCCCTCGTCAGCGCAGTTTCGCAACAAATTGGACAAAATCATTGCATATTGCTGTGCTAAATGTCATAATGGCTGCAGCAAAATCAAGCATTTTTGCTCACAAATATCACAACAAAATCTTAAATAAAGCAAAACAACCTAAAATGAGAGCAACTTTAGAACACTAGACAGTGCTAAGTGTATTTGAATAAAACCTATTGCTTTAGTTCTTTAAAGCTCTGAATTCCTTTCTTTCAGCAGAACACCTGGGTTCACGTCACTCGGGTGTGTCTCGCTTGCGTTGGCTGACGCGTGCTCAAACACTCTAAAAATATCTGGCACTTGAAAAGACACCATGGGACAAGGACCCTTGACATTGCTGCACACCAGCCTCTTCAATGAAGCAGTGTTGACGATGTCAAATCCCGCACTCCCTCCGAACGTGCTGGGCATCCAGTATTCCGGCGAGCAAATGGGGTTTCCCAGGAGACCTTTCAGGGAGTAGGGGGAGCCCATTTCGATCATAGTCTCCCCGAAGACAGAGTTAGGTCTGGGGCGCTCCACCAGAAGGCCTGTGTACAGCTCCACAGCATCCACTTCCCCATATAGACTCTCCAGCTCTGCCGCCAGCTCTGTCTCTCCTGCAACACCCACAGAACAACGAAGGGTTAATAAATCTAGCCTGCTAGTCACCAATTGTGTATATAAACCCTGGATTGCTGATGCTATGTATTGGCCATTGTAAGGCTTTGAAGCCACCAGTCGGCCATATTGGCACTATCAGTCATCTAGCGTATAAAGTGAGGGAAAAAAGTATTTGATCCCCTGCTGATTTTGTATGTTTGACCACTGACAAAGAAAGTATCAGTCTATAATTTTAATGGTAGATTTATTTGAACAGTGAGAGACAGAATAACAACAAAGAAATCCAGAAAAATGCATGTCAAAAATATTATAAATTGATTTGCATTTTAATGAGGGAAATAAGTATTTGACCCCCTCTCAATCAGAAAGATTTCTGGCTCCCAGGTGTCTTTTATACAGGTAACGAGTTGAGATTAGGAGAACACTCTTAAAGGGAGTGCTCCTAATCTCAGTTTGGTACCTGTATAAAAGACGCCTGTCCACAGAAGCAATCAATCAATCAGATTCCAAACTCTCCACCATGGCCAAGACCAAAGAGCTCTCCAAGGATGTAAGGGACAAGATTGTAGACCTACACAAGGCTGGAATGGGCTACAAGACCATCGCCAAGCAGCTTGGTGAGAAGGTGACAACAGTTGGTGCGATTATTCGCAAATGGAAGAAACACAAATGAACTGTCAATCTCCCTCGGCCTGGGGCTCCATGCAAAATCTCACCTCGTAGAGTTGCAATGATCATGAGAATGGTGAGGAATCAGCCCAGAACTACACGGGAGGATCTTGTCAATGATCTCAAGGCAGCTGGGACCATAGTCACCAAGGAAACAATTGGTAACACACTACGCCGTGAAGGACTGAAATCCTGCAGCGCCCGCAAGGTCCCCCTGCTCAAGAAAGCACATATACATGCCCGTCTGAAGTTTGCCAATGAACATCTGAATGATTCAGAGGAGAACTGGGTGAAAGTATTGTGGTCAGATGAGACCAAAATTGAGCTCTTTGGCATCAACTCAACTCGCCATGTTTGGAGGAGGAGGAATGCTGCCTATGACCCCAAGAACACCATCCCCACCGTCAAACATGGAGGTGGAAACATTATACTTTGGGGGTGTTTTTCTGCTAAGGGGACAGGACAACTTCACTGCATCAAAGGGACAATGGACAGGGCCATGTACCATCAAATCTTGGGTGAGAACCTCCTTCCCTCAGCCAGTGCATTGAAAATGGGTCGTGGATGGATATTCCAGCATGACAATGACCGGAAATACACGGCCAAGGCAACAAAGGAGTGGCTCAAGAAGAGGCACATTAAGGTCCTGGAGTGGCCTAGCCAGTCTCCAGACCTTAATCCCATAGAAAATCTGTGGAGGGAGCTGAAGGTTCGAGTTGCCAAACGTCAGCCTCGAAACCTTAATGACTTGGAGAAGATCTGCAAAGAGGAGTGGGACAAAATCCCTCCTGAGATGTGTGCAAACCTGGTGGCCAACTACAAGAAACGTCTGACCTCTGTGATTGCCAACAAGGGTTTTGCCACCAAGTACTAAGTCATGTTTTGCAGAGGGGTCAAATACTTATTTCCCTCATTAAAATGCAAATCAATTTATAACATTTTTGACATGCGTGTTTCTGGATTTTTTTGTTGTTATTCTGTCTCTCACTGTTCAAATAAACCTACCATTAAAATTATAGACTGATCATTTCTTTGTCAGTGGGCAAACGTACAAAATCAGCAGGGGATCAAATACTTTTTTCCCTCACTGTATATAAGTCATTACTAGTCACACACGTCTATTAAATCCTCCACTCACAAAAGAAAAGTAAACGAACAACCCACTGGGCACAGACGTCAATTCAACATCTATTCCACGTTGGTTCAACGTAATTTCATTGAAACTTTGATTCAACCTGTGTGTGCCCAGTGGGAAGGTGCATGCTATGACAAGTCTGTGTTTTGGTCTTTATAGGAACTCAATGACGCAAGTATAGACAACATACACTGGAACCTTGTGTGAATCTCATGTGAGAGTATAAATGTGTATGTAATTATACATTGAAGATTACATGTGCAGACTTTAATAATACACCTTCAGGGTATAATAGGCAACAGCCACTCCCTGCCCACCCTCTATATCAGCAGCTGTCATGGAGGTGGTAACCATGCCAATAACAAAACAGCTGGGCCTGACTGAACCAATCCTATCGCTTTATCCAGGGACTACTTCAGTTGCCATGCACCTGTGCTTACTAAATTAAACCTTTCACCTAGTTAGATTGAGGATAAATAAATAGCAATATTAAAGGGATAGTTCACAATTTTGGAAATTAAGGCCTTTATCTATTTTCCCAGAGTCAGATGAACTCATGGATACCATTTTTATGTCTCTGGAAAATGGTATCCACAGATTCGTTCATGTGACTCTGGGGAAATAGATACAGGGCTTCAATGCCAAAATCCCGAACTATCCCTTTAAGATTATGTGTGTCTCACACTATGTTGTTTCTCACCTGTGAGGTCCTCGAACGAGGAGTAGGCCCTCATGTTGAAGCGTTTCCTGTAGGCGTTGAGGGACTGGTAACGCATGTCTCTGCTGTGCTCCAGGGCCTTAGCTGCCACGCCCACTACTGCAGGAGGCAGGTTACGCCCACCAGCCACCTGGGAACCAAGAGGTATCAAGATTAATTGGTGGAGCTGTATCAGGAGTTGGGGAATTGTTCACTTAGAAAGGACTACCATGCCTAACATTTGACATTGGATTTATACTGAGATTCCCGTTTACTTGTGACAAAACAGTTGTCACTTAGGCCTCAATTAAATACTATTGCTGTAAGGATGTTCCAGCATCGAGTGTCCCCCCCCCCCCCCCATTCCCACTACTCCCCATAGGACCCCAATGTACACTAGACAACCCACCCTTCCAGCGATCTGCTTGGTGAAGGACTCCACCAGGTTGTTGATGCCGTGCTCTGTGACCAGGGAGTTGTTGAAGACAAACTGGGGGTAGGTGTAGACGCGGCCCTCGATGTTGAAGGTGTCAGGCATCAGTGGGTGCCAGTGGTACAGGGTATTGAACTCAGCTGCGATACGGTTCTGGTACTGGAAGCGCTGGTTGAACAGGAGCTCCGGGTCGAACTTGAGTTGGAAGTGGTAGCCGCTCAGGTGCTGGACGTAGTCCTCGATCACGATCTTTATGGTCTCGCCTGCAAAGAAGGAAGGAAGGAAGGAAGGGAATGGATGAGATAAGATTGGTGAGATATTGCTCTATAAATACCTGACACCCACCAAATTTAGTTTTTTGATCTGTTTTACACAGAGCTGTCTTAATTTGTATGCATTGTACGGTTTATAAAACACTCTCAAACATTGCCTCACTTTGATCATATATGATTCCCATCATAAGGACCTGAAGAGTCTAAGACAGTACAGTATACACAGTAGTCGTGTCCAGTTTTATTACTGGTAACTCACCAATTAGGATGAGGCGTGTGGTCTGGAAAATCCGTTCGTCGTCCCATTCGGGATGCTCCTGCCTCATGACGTCACAGACGCGGTTGTGCTCTCTCAGCCAGATGGTGGCATACATCATGAGGCCGGGGACCAGGCCAAAATGCTCGTGGCCCACAGCGAAGCGGTGCTCCTCGGGCACGAGGGGTGGATAGTGCATCTCTACCCCAACCTCCCTTACCAATGGGGGGTAGACCTCGCCATTCACAACCTGATACTTCAGTTTGCCATCCTTGAACTGCCTCAGCTTGTGCTGTCTCTCCAGAGTGTCTCCATAGACATGGTGTAAGTCCACCTGAAACACAGAGGTAAAGAGTGAGTCCAATCATACACTCCAAGCCTAAGTTAAAGTCAACTATGACACACAATGGGAACATATTTTCATGTGACAGAGCCACTATTTGTCATGTATTGTAAATTAGACTTACGCCATGACCCAAGGCTTTGGTGAAAGCTGGTCCTTTCTTGAAGTCTGATTTGAAGAACTGGTGGCTGAAGTGCTGGGCGAAGAAGGCGAACATGAGATTGGAACCCTGAGGATCCGGAATGAACCGCTTCCTCAACATAACCTTCTCCACCACAAGCTTGGCATCTGGAAGCACGGCTCTTCCTATGAGGAGAAGGAGCGATGTTAGCAAAATACTTGGGGTCCTACCTCAACAAAATCTTTATTCGGTTACTAACGACAGTTTTAATATGTTCATTCAACTGCCATATTGTTCAGTCTCGTCTTGGAAACTTTAGAAGGCTGTGACTTTTGACTGGTGGGAATGTTTTAGAAACCGGTCTGAAGTGAATTTCTAAGGCTTCCATGGTCTCAGATAAGGAATTCCAAAAGACTGGTTAGGCGGGAGCTCACTCACCTGCAGTTCCCATAGGTGTAGGACAGCCCTTTGGCAATGGAGGAAGGGTCCGTGTATAGTAAGACAGGTTGGAGTAAGCCTCCCAGCTCTTGTAGCCATAATCAGCATTGTAAGTCGGTGGGCTGTCCACCAAATGTGAGCGGGCTATTAAATAGAGAGGCAAAGAGCAACATTATCTAATTTGTTCAGAAGCTGAGCTAATGATGTAATCTGTTACATTTAATGTAAGACTTACTCATATTTCCTTAATTTATTTATCTCCATCCTTCCCATATCAGTAAATATCATACAGGTATATCCAAATAATAAATGGACTCAACTGTCTTTCATTCATGAACTATCAAAAATGTGATATTATTTCAACCTACATGTCAAGACATAGCTCATGATAGCATTTCTCACAAAAGTGATCTTGTTGATGACATTCCACACTCCTTTGTAGTGTGTAAGGAAGTAGTGCACAGTGTTCGGAGCTGGTTTCAATGATATCTTTATCCATGTTAGGAATTCAGCTGCAGAGTGGAGAGAAGTGGGACATATTTATAATAACAATATCGAATACTCCTTGTGAATAATGATATACATAATATCGATGGAATTTGTATTAGATGTCCTAAAAAAAAAAAAAAACATACGAGTTGTGCAGTTCTTTCCATAATATCCAGTTCTTGTGCATTCACACTCATAGTCGTCGAAGCCTTTTGAATTACAGAAGCCCCTATTTTCACATGGTTGTGCACAGCAAGGGTCCACTGAAAAGATATTGCAACATTTAGAAGGCTATACAAAGTTATATTATTGTATCCACTCATCTATTATTTTCCATAACAAACATTCGAATATTTATCAAATCAATTCATATAAATCGAAAAAAACGTATGTAAAAGTATAATTATAAACTATTATTAATAAGCCAAATACAATATTTTCACAAAAGAATATATTTATAAGAGTATCAAAATAAATATACTCACCTCCTTCGCAGAAATAGATCCACACCGTAGAGAGCAAAATAACGCAGATTACTTTATTCATTCCGAAAGATTCTATTGAATCGCAATCCGGTGTAAAATGTCAAGTTCCAGCCGACTACTGCTCACACCTGGTGACAGTGATTCTGAAATTCATAGATGCCCGCTCCATATTTATGTACGACGCCCATTCCAAGCTCTTACGCAAACTATTACACTCCTAATTTCAGCGGAACCGGCCAGGACCAGACAGGACCAGACAGGAGCGGAAACATTTGACCAATCATCTTCCTAATGGAAGAGTGATAACAGGAAGAAGCTACCGCACATCCAAAATCTATTAGTGAAGGTGCTGGAGGCAAAATAAAAAACGGGAAAAACAGGAAAAAGTTTCGGAACACTTCCAGTCAGATGCAAATGTTTTTGATCGTAGTCTTCCAGCATGACAACGACCCGAAACACACAGCCAGGGCAACTAAAGAGTGGCTCCGTAAGAAGCATCTCAAGGTCCTGGAGTGGCTTGCCAGTCTCCAGACCTGAACTCAATAGAAAATCTTTGTAGGGAGCTGAAAGTCCGTATTGCCCAGCGACAGCCCCAAAACCTGAAGGATCTGGAGAAGGTCTGTATGGAGGAGTGGGCCAAAATCCCTGCTGCAGTGTGTGCAAACCTGGTCAAGACCTACAGGAAACGTATGATCTCTGTAATTGAAAACAAAGGTTTCTGTACGAAATATTAAGTTCTGCTTTTCTGATGTATCAAATACTTATGTCATGCAATAAAATGCAAATTAATTACTTAAAAATCATACAATGTGATTTTCTGGATTTTTGTTTTAGATTCCGTCTCTCACAGTTGAAGTGTACCTATGATAAAAATTACAGACCTCTACATGCTTTGTAAGTAGGAAAACCTGCAAAATCGGCAGTGTATCAAATACTTGTTCTCCCCACTGTGTATATATATATATATATAATAACCATAAAACAATATAATAATGAATGATTATGATGCATTATAAATTTTTTGGGGGGATGTGATATCCAATTGATCACTGACAAATGTAATGATTTACTGTAATAAAAGGACGTATTGTGTGCCATAACTTTTGCAAAAATAATACATATTCCTATATAACATTCTTTAGTGCAGTATACTGTCTCAAATAACATTGGATACTAGGTGCAACAGTGTAGGGCTGTAGGCTGTGTTTAGTTCAGTTTTGTTATCAATCTTCAGTGGAAAAACAGGAAAACGTCTCAGCACACTTCTTGCCAGATGCTAATTTCTTACAAAAAGCTAAAGCTTTCGGTCGGTCGACCTTCATCGGAGCATATAGGGACAGTCTTCCAAAGCAATTACCAGTCAATTAAGCCGATCGTTGTTCGTGCAGACGATAGATGGACGGTGGGAAGAATCTATAGTCATTTGGCGCCAACATGTGGCCAAATGTGTCATGCTGTTGTAATTACCGACTGTCTGGACAGTGAATGAAAGTAGAATGACTGACTGACCAGGTTACAAAAGATTATGTCATTTGTCTTTTACGTCCTTAATAGCTAACCTATTTTATATTGTTATGTTATTCTTAGTTATTTGAATATTTATTTGCAAGAGTTAGTAACACCTGTTTATGAGTGAAATATGAACTAATTGAGCTTGCTCATCTATACTGAACAAAAATATAAACGCAACATGCAACAATTTCAAAGATTTTACTGAGTTAATATGAGGAAATCAGTCAATTGAAATAAATAAATTAGGCCCTAATCTATGGATTTCACATGACTAAGAATAAAGATATGCATCTGATGGTTACAGATAAACTTTTCAAAATGTTTCAAAGTGGGCCTCAAGATCTCGTCACGGTTTTTCTGTGTGTTCAAATTGTCATCGATAAAATGCAATTGTGTTAGTTGTCCGTAGCTTATGACTGCCCATACCATAACCCCACCGCCACCTTGGGGCATTCTGTTCACAACATTAACATCAGCAAACCGCTCACCCACACAACGCCATACACGTGGTCTGCGGTTGTGAGGCCTGTTGGACATACTGCCAAATTCTCTAAAATGATGTTTATGGCGTTGTGTGGGTGACAGATCTGGTGGACATTCCTGCAGTCAGCATGCCAATTGCACACTCCCTCAAAACTTGAGACATCCGTGGCATTGTGTTGTGTGACAAAACTGCAAATTGTAGTGTCCTTTCATTGTCCCCAGCACAAGGTGCACCTTGCTGTTTAATCAGCTTCTTGATATGCTACACCTGTCAGGTGGATGGATTATCTTGGCAAAGGAGAAATGCTCACTAACAGGCCCAGGACCAAGTTTGGGAAACCCGGATCTAGCTGACTTAAAGGTCCAATGCAGCATTTTATCTCAATATCAAATCATTTCTGGGTAACAGTTAAGTACCTTACTGTTTTCAAGTAAAATGGTCAAAAATAAACAAAAATAGCTTCTTTGCAAAGAGCAATTTCTCAAGCAAGAATTTTGCAAGGACTGTCTGGTTTTGGTCTGAGTGGGGAGGGGAAAACTGAAAAGTAGCTGTAATTGACAGAGGTTTGAAACTCTCTTTCTTAATGGTCTGTTAACACATTTTCCGCCTGGTGTTGTCACCAGGCAGGCCAAAACTCCATCCAACCAAACAAACAGCTCTTTCACTAAAAGGGCATTATCATCATTTTCACTATTTCACAGTATTATTCCAACCTCATAGTGTGGAAATATATAGTGAGTGTACAAAACAACATACTCTTTCCATGACATAGACTGACCAGGTGAATCCAGGTGAAAGCTATGATCCCTTATTGATGTCACCACTTCAATCAGTGTAGATGAACGTGAGGAGACAGGTTAAATAAGGATTTTTTAAAGCCTTGAGACAATTGAGACATGGATTGTGTATGTGTGCCATTCAGAGAGTGAATGGGCAAGACAAAAGAGTTAAGTGCCTTTGAACGGGGTATGGTAGTAGGTGCCAGGCGCACCAGTTTCAGTGTGTCAAGAACTGTAACTCTGCTGTTTTTTTCACGCTCAACAGTTTCCCATGTGTATCAAGAATGGTCCACCACCCAAAGGACATCCAGCTAACCGCAGGCCAGTGGTCAAAAACAGGTCATTGATGAAAGAAGACAAAGGAGGCTGACACGACGGGCTACAGTTAGTCAACTGACAGTCCAGTACAACATTGGTGCCCAAAGTTCTCGTCATACCTTGACACGAATGGGTATATGGCGGCAGGTAGCTTAGTGGGTAAGCGTTGTGCCAGTAACCGAAAGGTCGCTGGTTCTAATCCCCGAGCCGACTAGGTGAAAAATCTGTCTGTGCCCTTAAGCAAGGCACTTAACCCTAATTGCTCCTGTAAATCGCTCTGTATAAGAGCGTCTGCTAAATGACTAAAATGTAAAACATGTATGGCAGCCAACGACCTTACAGAGTTCCACTTCTTTCAGAAAAAAAACAAGAAACTGTGGATGCAGTGGGCTATAGAACAAAAACACTGGGCACTGGAGAATTGGGAGAAAAAAATTCTGGTCTGATTAATCCCGGTTCCGACTGTTTCACGCTGATGGGAGGACTAGGGTATGGAGAAAACATGAGTACATGCATCCATTATGCCACGTGTCAACATTGCAGGCTGGTGGTGGAGGTGTGATGGTGTGGGGTCTGTTTTCATGTGACACATTGGGCACCTTGATAAAAGTGGAGATACATTTGAATGCCACAGGATATCTGAACATCATTGCCAATCAGGTGCATCCCTTCATTACAACAGTGTACAGTATCTGCGAATTGATTTTTTCAGTGGAATGCTTTCGGCTCCTCGTAGAATCCATGCCCCAACGAATTGAGGCTGTTCTAAGTGCAAAAGGGGGTGCAACTCAATGTTTTTTACACTCACTGTATACAAAACACAGGAAAATTCACATTTAAATAATTTAGCAGACAGTTTTATCCAGAGTGATTTACAGGAGCTATTATTATTATAATAGGGGGTAGATCAGCTTTAATATTGTAGATAGATTGTAGCTTCCATCAATGTAATTGTCTGCATCATTTCCAATCCCCCATATATTTTTTTGTGAATAAATATATATATACACTACCAGTCAAAAGTTTTAGAACACCTACTCATTCAAGGGTTTTTCTTATTTTTTAAAAACTATTTTCTACATTGTAGAATAATAGTGAAGACATCAAAACTATTAAATAACACATATGGAATCATGTAGTAACCAAAAAAGTGTTAAACAAATCAAAATATATTTTATATTGGAGATTCTTCAAATAGCCACCTTTTGCCTTGATGACAGCTGTGCACACTTGGCATTCTCTCAACCAGCTTCATGAGGTAGTCACCTGGAATGCATTTCAATTAACAGGTGTGCCTTCTTAAAAGTTCATTTGTGGGATTTCTTTCCTTCTTAATGCGTTTGAGCCGATCAGTTGTGTTGTGACAAGGTGGGGGAGTATACAGAAGATAGCCCATATTATGGCAAGAACAGCTCAAATAAGCAAAGAGAAATGAAAGTTCATCATTACTTTAAGACATCAAGCTCAGTCAATACGGAAAAAGTCAATAACTTTTAAAGTTTCTTCAACTGCAGTCGCTATGATGGAACTGGCTCTCATGAGGACTGCCACAGGAATGGAAGACCCAGAGTTACCTCTGCTGCAGAGGATAAGTTCATTAGAGTTACCAGCCTCAGAAATTGCAGCCCAAATAAATGCTTCAGAGTAACAGACCCATCTCAAAATCAACTGTTCAGAGGAGACTGTGTGAATCAGTCCTTCATGGTCAAATTGCTGCAAAGAAACCACTACTACAGGACACCAATAAGAAGAAGAGACTTGCTTGGTACAAGAAACGTGAGCAATGGACATTAGACCGGTGGAAATGTATCCTTTGGTCTGGTGTCCAAATTGGAGATTTTTGGTTCCAACCGCCGTGTCTTTCTGAGACGCGGTGTGGGTGAACGGATGATCTCCACGTGTATTTCCCACCGTAAAGCATGGAGGAGGAGGTGTTATGGTGTTGGGGTGCTTTGCTGGTGACACTGTCTGTGATTTATTTGGAATTCAAGGCACACTTAACCAGCATGGCTACAACAGCATTCTGCAGCAATACGCCATCCCATCTGGTTTGGGCTTAGTGGGACTATCATTTGTTTTTCAACAGG